TGAGATCTACTAGTGAGCCAAGATTTAATCCAAGTAAGGGTGCTTCCCTGAATGCCATAAAACTGCAATTTGCTGATGAGGCGTTGATGGGGAACTTTGTCAAAGGCTTTACTGAAATCCAGAATGATCATATCCATTTGATCTCCATGATCTAAGTTCTTGGCCAGGTATTCAACAGTCAGAATCAATTGAGATTCACATGAATGATTTTTTCGAAATCCATGTTGGTTCGCAAATAAGATGTCATTGTCTTCAACATGGTGCATAATGTGCCTATCAATAATATGTTCCAGGTTTTTAGATAGATTGTCTACCAACTGAGTTACAGAAATCTCATCTATTAGCTCGGTCATCCATATACAGCGATTGTGTTAGAATCTTACACTGTATGTGACAAGATTCCGGAAATTTTGAAGAAGAGCTCCCCCCCCCAAAAAAAACGCAGTTGGTTGTCTGTCGGCTGTGAATGAATGGTTGGCCCCATATTTATTTATAGTATTATTCAATGTGCTTCTTATTAGATTTAATCCTTACTTTTTCTCAGGTTGCTCCTTTTGCAAAAGGAAATACGATTGATGCATCTGTGTCAGAGACTATCCAAGAAACGGTAATGTCGTGATTACTGAAACTGGAAACTTGAATTTTCTTTGTGATTTGACCCCTTTTGTTTAGGGAATATCGTACCTGGGTATTTAGTTCTCTGATGTGCCCAGAGACCACAGAATAGGAAAGCAACATTTGTTTACTTTAAAATTGCATTAGTTTTTTTATTGTATTTATTGACACGAGTGTCTTTCAAAATACTTGGACCGGCTTTTTTATCTGCCTTAGTCTGCGGTTCAACACTAAGTGACATGATTATAATTTTTCATAATATAATTTCTATAAAAATTTACATTTTATAGATTAGCCTCTTTAACGAAGAGATGGCAAAGTTAGGAAGTAGTGTAAAGAGCATGCAGGCGAAGTGTCGTCTTACTGATGACGATAAGGAGCTGGCTTCGTTCAGGAAGGAAACAAGTGAAGTTGGACGATCACTCAAAGACATCAAAGACACCACAAAGGTTTGTACTTCAGTTGCCCCGTGACTCTATAGAGTGATCTGTAAGTAAATTGTCTTTACGGATTTTTTCTTATCTGTAGAGCAGACCAGCAGACAAACAGGTAGACACGGGTCAAACAATGGCCTGTTGTTTTTTCTCTTCATATATTTATTTATTTTTTAAATTTGTTTGGTTGTTGTTTAATTTGTTGTCAGCTGTAGTAATCAGTAAATATGTGGCATCATCGTCATTAGGAAACAACCTGTGTATTGTGAAAAACGGTTGTAGATGTTTTGGTAGTCAACTGTGGTACTCCTTGAAGTGTTAGCCTTTATGCCACGATGCTGCCACTTGTGGTGTACTCCCACGATCTTTCGACTGCATAATGCTTCCGCAACAAGCAGTGAATTTGAGGTCAACTTAATTTGCGTCAACTTGAAGCTAGGCCTGACGCGCGAAATACGCCCATGGTGCAGTAGCCGAAAACTAACCACTCACAGTGTAGGATCGTTCCTCCAAGCTTACATGTAACTAATGGATTTATCAGCCGGGTAAAGACAAACAAACATCGTGCTGTTGAAACGAAGCTCATTCCTACCATATTTAACATCACAGGTTCAACAAAATGACATTGATGAGGAGAAAAGAAAACTACTTGAAGCTTTTGAAATACTTGAAGATATCAGGTGCGTATGTGAGCTTCCGTTTCCTCTTTGTTGTTGTTGTTTTTTTTGTGTGTGCAGTTGTTTGTTTGTTCGTAATGTTTTTGCTTTTGTTCTAATTTTCTAATATTTTTAATTGTATGATGTGACTTATGTTCTAAAAGAAATTAGGTAACTAGACGATCTAGGGATGTAGTGATAACATAATGTATCATCACAATTGTAAAGGCACTGCACTCTTTTTTTGCACATTAGGATTAGACAAGAGAAGAAGAACGACCCGAGATATATTCAACTACTTAAGGTTTGAGTTAATTATTACATTTATTATTATATTTATTACATAGTACTTCTATGATTGAGTAAATTCAAACGGGGAACATGGTGCACGGTCTATCATTTATATTCAATCCGTGTGCATTTGTTCTAAACGCAGCATGTGACTGTAAAAAAGCTCCTTTTAACCGGGCAATACTCTCTTAGTAATATATTCCAAACTTTCAAATGGCTCTTCCGTTATGATATAAATCTGCATAAAATTCATTACGACAGTAGGGATCTTTTTGCTTTTGTTATATAAGGAGAAATAGTGCTCGTCAATTGAACGACAGAAAGATAGAATACTAAAATTTAAATCTCCGACCTTGTAAACGTTTTTGGCGGCATGTTGTTCAAACATTTGTGGTCTCGCTTACATGGTTAATTAATTGGCCTTGATTTGCTTGAAAACATGCTCGTGTGTTCGTCCGAAACAATAGATGTCCGGTGACATATATACCGTGTGCGACCATACTTTTGTCCCATTTAGAGACTTTTATTAATTTTAACCTGTTTGAAATACTTTGTTGTCCTTTTGTTTTAGTCAAGAGCTCTAGATCCTTTGAATAAAAAGAAAATGAAAGAAATCAGACAGCTTCATCTCTATCTTGATAAAACACTCAGGTGCGAGTTAATTCATGATTTTGTTTAAAATGTACCTGCATTCTTTATAAGTGAATGTACCGCGAGTTAGCCACGTCCAAAGTTTGTTGCACACGTTTTAACACCTTTATTTAGACACGATAATGTTGAACAGCTTGTGGGGTCGTGTGTAAATCCAATTAAACTCTAAATTAAATAAATTCAAATGATGATAGTTTTTGAGGAGAGGGGAAAACCGGAGTACCCGGAGAAAAACCTCYCGGAGCAGAGTAGAGAACCAACAAACTCAATCCACTTATGACGCCAGGTCCGGGAATCGAACCCGGGACACATTGGTGGAAGGCGAGCGCTCTCACCACTAGGCCAGGGCACAGAGCTCAGATTTTAGATAGAGGGCTTCTCGATTAAGTGCCATAATACGAAAACCAAAGTAATCAAACCAATCACGGAGCCGAATGAACTGAACCAATGGAATCTAGGATTACCCTCGATAATCATTTGAAACTTGGTCTATTGATGCAATAGTGCCCTGCATCCCTTCTATACCAAAGAGGTTGTGTTATTTAAGCCACCTTCATTTTGGATTTTTCCATCCTGTCCGTTCACGTCTGCACTGATGCAGTCGTGGATAAGTACAGTTGCATGTATTTTATTTGACCTACTTTTTTTTAGAGACGTTATCATGGTTCTTGACGAACAGTGGAACAAAGAGAATAGACAGAAAAGGTAAGCACAAGGAAGATAGCAGTGCGTTACGCAGAGATTGATTTTATTTCTTATGTTCTGTTTTGCAGTGAATAGATTTCACTGGAAGTCTTTGTTTTTAAGTGTTTTAAATATCGTAGGCTCGTTTTTAATTTTGGATTATTTAGTCCCCGCCTCAAAATTAGTGCTTTATTATTATTTTTGACAAGACAGCTCCCCTCTGCAGCAGACATTAGTGGACTGGAATAGTTCTTATCTAGTCCATACCTCCTCCAAAACAATGCCATGAGCGCTTGCGCGGCGACTTACGTTTCCAGGCTATCACTCATCTTCAAAGTTAGCTATTATTCGCTTCAATTGTAGGTCTATCCAACATCCTGCTCTAGCTGACATTTACCAGGCGCTGAGGATGCACCGAAAAATAGCGCAAGATCAGGTGAGTCTCAAAGATATCCTTGTTCATTCATGTGATATTGGCATCGGTTCGCATATTAACAGTCTTATTTAACTGTTTGATTCGATTTTTTAGGGGGTCAAGTTGGACAAAATTGAGCAAGAAATGAAAAATCGAAAACCGGTGTCAACCTCGTGGCTAAGAAATTCGATTAATACCACCAGTTTAAGGTATGAAATTAATTGGTTTTACAAATCGACTATTATTCTAGATCAATGTTAGTATTGACAATCCACTTCACAAATAGTTCCGTGGTGCGGACGAGAGTATACGCGAGTTTGAAGCTGGTGTGCGAAAACAAGAAAACTCGTTTATATTCGACATCCGCCATGTACCTGTTCCTCAAATCATCATAAATAACTCCCAGTTTCAGCTTTACTTACACAGCTCTTGACCTGTGAGTTGTACAGTTTGGAAAATATCTTATAATTCAAGTTCATCACGGACTAATTTTTAGCTGAACTTGTTATCTGGTACTGAAGATTTACCATTAATTATTCCCTTTCTCTTGTTTTCTTCTGTTATTATTTCATTAATCATACTCTTTTGTTTAAACTTTAATTTAATTTTTCATTTCAGAGATGACGTTTCTTCTTTAAGTGAGCCCTTCTCTCTGTCAAAACAGGGATTAAAATCACCTACAAAACCCGTCGCAGGTACTTTTCTACTACTTGTAAAATAGTTTTGGTTGTGGACCACCTTAGCCACTGTAAATATTTGGCTGGGGAGTCCTTGCTAAACTTGGTCACGCTTAAATCAACGTTCTGTTAATTCGTGTTGCTCTTTAATCACGCACTGTACCTACTGTTTACTAAACGTTTGTTCCTTTTGCAAAGATTTTGGCTTTCATTTTCCCTTGTACTTCAGTAAGGCGTATTTATATCAAACACTTTCAAAATTGAAGAAGAATCAAAATGCCAGTTTCTAGCGGACAACTACCAATGCAGCCCTATTTATCAACTCAACTCACCTTCCAATAGTGATTCATACTGATACAGTTATTACAAGGCTCCAAGTTAACTTTTTAGTCCACTCGTTAGTAAGATTTTTCCACTAGCAAACTGGTGAGACCACTGGCTCTCTTGAAGAAAGAAGTTATTTTTGACATTTGTTTTGAAAATAATAGCTCCAAATCCACGAAGAACAGCAACAGTGCGCGAATGCACAGGTGTGGCACGGAGCCTCGGTGTAATACCTCTGGCAAGTGGCTTTCAAAAGGCTCAGCGTCCGCTGTTTCATTCACCTCAGCTGTCGTCCGTACATTCTTTCTTGCGTTACAGCTTTCTTTTTTCAAATGCTTGGAGACATGAATATTCTAATTCAGAAAGATTTGCTAGTGGCTATTTTTCTCACTCGCAGATTATGAAAATTCACTCCCATTTTGTGAGTTTGCGAGCGTTAATTTTAGCTCTGAATTAGAGGGCACATTTCGGTTACGTGTCTTGCTATCGAAACTAGAGACTAAGAGTAGGCATCGCGGCCAATCAGAGCAAAGGAAAAGATCACACACAGCAAAACGAACTTAAAATAGAAACAGGTAAACTGCCTCATGCGCGGGAAAACGTGGGTTACCAAATCGTGTTTGGTTTTAGTTTTGAAATTGGCCCAAGTTTTTGGAGTCAATCACAGAACAAGGTAAAGGAAAACCAATGCAGTTCAGGATCACTTTGTTACTCAATTGCACTTTCCTTCATGTCTCAATAAAAATCTTATTTTAAATATTTCCTTTGGTTATTTTACAGCTCCAATATCCCCTGAAAAACGAGCCAAGCTTAGAAACATGTTTCAGAAACGAGGAAATACCCCAGTAAGAAGAAGCATGATTGGTAAGTTTTATTATCGTTATCATTATTGTTATTAGACACCGTAAGCTCTACTCAGCTCTAGTAGGTCTAACGCCAAGTGGGCCTGTTCAATTTGGTCTTTTATATTTGCCATTTTGTTTTTGCCATACCAGACAGGCTTTTTTTCTTTAGCTACTCGGAACATCCGTAGTGAAGACATAGTACTAGTGACAGATTTTGTAATTTGTTTTCCTTTGCGGACAAGGCTAAAAAGATGGTGACGTTGTTGAGAAAAATCACTTGAAAATACGCGTGTGCTGTCAGACTTTGTTTTTGCGAAGGAACAAAGGGTAAATTTCTCCTGTTCTTTTCTCCTTTGATTGTAATTTTATGATATACTGGTTAACTCAATAATGCATTGGTTTTATCTGAAATTGGCTAAACTAAAAATTGTGACGGGCAATTATAACTGCCACCAGCTTTAAACTAGGATTTGACTGAGTCTTTGCAATGCAATTCTACTCTAGTAATGCCAGCATTCTTGATGCTTTTCAAAGTTATCTTTTCTAACTCTTCAACTTTTTTTTTCAGATTTTCAAATGGTTACCAAGACGCCCTTAGAGAAGCCTGCTAAACCTGAAATGCCATTCTATTCTTCAACTCCTGCTCTAGAACGAGGTGAGGCGGCAGAACGCTCTAAAGGCGGTTTTAAGCTCCTTGGTGTTAGTGAAGAGCAGGATGACGAAAGCCCCTCGGAGGAAGAGTCCGAGGATGACGATACTAGTGAAGAACAAGAGCTTAATCAGTGGAATGAAGTCCAGGAAACCCATTCACGTGCACCTGATTCACAACCTGTACAATCTACAGCGGAAGTCACTTCAAAGAGCGGTTTCAGTTTGGGGATTTCACAAGAAAGAAATGAATTAAACGAGCCAGCGCCTCAGAAGACCAGAATATCAACTGTTGTCAACAATTTACAACAAGCCAGGGACAGCCCGAAAGCTGCTGCAAGTGGAACATTCTCTGCAGTTGATAAGTCTAGTGATGGAGGCATTAAGGCATCAGAATCACAGACAATTCAAGCTGAATCAGTCAAACCAACAAATGGTTTTAATCTTCCTTCAATTAAGGGAGAGGTAAAGTATTCTTTCTCCACCTTTTTTTTTCTGTCTGACCATTATTTCTCCCTCGCTGTTGTTCTCGAACACTCTTTGGACATATCATCTTCATGATTTCTTTCATTTCGTTCATAGTCCTCGCCTGGACCAATTGTTCAGCCGAAAGGTGACTTAAAGCCCGGTGTTAAGGTTATCAGCACAGAAACACCTCCTAACGTTGCTGCAGCCATGGCTGCTATGAGCAGAGCCAGTGCATCGCAAGGTGCTGTTCAGTCAAGCAGCAACCTTGAACCTTCAGCGAGCATCGAACCAGTAACTCTGGTGACTTACAGACCACAGTCACAAGGAAGTGCACCAGCCAAGGACTATGATGCAGGCAACACTGCTGCAAAGGCAATTGCAAACGCGGCATTGATGGCTGCTACAGCAGAAGCCCAGAAGTCCTCTACAAAGCCTCAGTATAGCACAGAATTTGTCTTCAAATCCACTGATAGTAGCAAGCCCGGCCCTCCAGTCGTCACTTTCAAGCCACCTGCCTCTCCGCCGAAAATAACCGAGAGTGGTACCAAGTTTTCTGCTGCTCCTAATGTTTCTGTGAATCCAAGTGGAGTATTTAAACCAGCGTTTCCACCACCAGTGCCGACATCGTCCACGACTTCCAGTACTGGTGGGCTGCAGCAACCTTTGTCAAGAACTCAGGCCACAAGCGGGTTCAGCTTTGCTCCACCACCTGGAGGTTTATTCAACGTAGGGGCTTCTTCTGGGACGGCCGTTCCAGCATTCAGTGCATTTAGTTTCAGCAGTAAAGCGAAAGACACAGCAGATGCTAAAGCCTCCAGTCTTGCTGCTGCGGCCAGCGTTGAGTCACCCAAACCAGTAACCAATTCCTCGACACCAACCGTCGGTATCACTCCTAGCGCGAGAGTAAGTAGGAATTTATTTGCAGCAGGGAATGCAGGGAATGAAGGTGAGCAAACAGTACCAACAAGAGGAGAACAGGAATTGAAACAAGAAACCAGAAAGGATGAAGGAAAGGTGAATCTTGTAAACGGGGTGTTTTTATTAAGAACAATAGTAGGAACATAGCAGACTCTGAGGCTTGTGATGAAGATATGAAATACATCGACTTCATTTAAGGTCGCTAAACACAATATCGCAGGTCTCTCTTAAGGACTAACGTGAAAGTAACTCATCAAATGCATTTCCATATTGTCGTGTGGTCGATTTAAAACTGTAAACGATAAAGAAACGGAGACAACTTAATGGAGTGGACTGGGTAAATTTGAAATCCTTTCCCTCGACAATTTAAGTTGACTTATTTTTCTTGTTAAGTGTCTAGATTTGGCCAACAAAGGCCGTTTCTCTGCAAATTTTAGGTTTGAAGGTCCTGATTAACTACCAGCATACACAGCTGGTTTGTACAAAAAATGAAAAAAAAGGAAACTAATGTTTTTTCCCGTTTTCGACAGACCGTACAAGTTACAACCACAGCTTCGTCTGTCACCACTTCTAAAGGAATCGTAAACACAGGAACCGCAGCGGGGTTCTCGATTTCCGCTACAACTCCTTTTGGTGTAAATTTTTCTTCATCTGACAGGGCAAGTAGTGTGTTTGGTTCTTCTGATACAGGTGGTGGTTCCACAAGCATCTTGAACAACCTGTTGCGAACGTCTACCGCAGGAGGTATCGTAGCCTCTGGTGATGCAGCAGCTACAGCTAGCGCACTTCCTGGGCAGGTTTCTCTACCCTCTAAAGGGACTCCATCGGAGAACAAAGATACTACGACCGCTCCGACTGCCACGTCTGTTACGCCCGCTCCCGAAGGTGTATTTAGCTTTTCTCTAGGTGGCAATAAGACTGCCACGATATCTGCTCCTTCTGTTTTTGGAGCTCCAACTACAACTGGTACGACTGCCACGTCTGTTACGCCTGCTCCCGGAGATGTATTTGGCTTGTCTCTAGGTGGCAATAAGACTGCCACAACATCTGCTCCTTCTGTTTTTGGAGCTCCAACTACAACTGGTACGACTGCTACGTCTGTTACGCCTGCTCCCGGAGATGTATTTGGCTTGTCTCTAGGTGGCAATAAGACTGCCACAACATCTGCTCCTTCTGTTTTTGGAGCTCCAACTACAACTGGTACGACTGCTACGTCTGTTACGCCTGCTCCCGGAGATGTATTTGGCTTGTCTCTAGGTGGCAATAAGACTGCCACAACATCTGCTCCTTCTGTTTTTGGAGCTCCAACTACAACTGGTACGACTGCTACGTCTGTTACGCCCACTCCCGGAGGTGTATTTGGCTTGTCTCTGGGTGGCAATAAGACTGCCACAACATCTACTCCTTCTGTTTTTGGAGCTCCATCTACAACCGCTACAACTGCCACATCTGTTACGCCCGCTCCCGGAAATGGATTTAGCTTTTCTGTAGGTGGCAATAAGACTGCTATGACATCTGCTCCTTCTGTCACCCCAACAGGGGGTAGTGCATTTAGATTCCCCTCTGGTTCTGCGTCATCTGCCTTTTCTGTAACAAGTAGTGCGAGTTCATTCTTTCCAAGTATCACTTCTACTTCCAAAAGCACCCTTTCATCATTAGTAAGTTCTTCATTAACCACCTTTACGACACCGAAGTCAACAGTCGTTGTTGCAAGTTCATCACCATATTTTTCAACCTCAATGGCTACTACAGGTGGTCTGTTTGGCAAAATTACAAGCACTGAAAGTGCGTTCGGTGCAGTTTCATCGACAGGCAGTAGCGTTGCAGGCTCTCTAGGTTCTACTTCAACTACCACTGCCACTGGAAACGTCTTCGGAAGATCCACATCAACCGCCTTTGCTCCCACACCAGTGTTTGGGGCTTCGAGCGGCAGCACGTTTGCAAGTACTTCTCCAGCTTTCGGTATCCCGGTCAGCAGTCAAGGTAGCGTATTTGGTTCCACACCAGTATTTGGATCGCAAAGCTCGGCGGCTAGCACAGGATCAGGTACAGGGTTTGGGGCATCTATCACTGGGCAGTCACCTTTTGCTTCAACCACCACTTATGGGTTTGGCACTGCCTCTAAACCAACGGAAAATGGTAAGTTAAAACCTTCATCCTTGGGTGATAATTTTCTACAACCGTATGACTTGTCTCTCGGTCGTCTATGAGAGGGCTTTCGCAAAGAGTAGGTTTCTCCACTTTCCTTCCCTTTACGAAACCAAATCTCAGAATTTGAATGAGGCGTGCCACGGTTAAATTCTATTTATTTTGTCCATTTTCATATTTTATTTTTTTCGTACTTTTATTTATTTTCCTATTTTATTTATGAGAAGGAAACTATTGGAGTGCAGTCGCCTAGTGATAAAATGCAGCCTTCCTGCTGGAATTTTCTCGCACAAGTGCCCACTGTATGTTCATTCATGCCTAGCTTAAGCTTTCACATTTTCAAGCAAATCCAATCCTGTAAGCATTTAAAACGATCATTTTGCCTCACCCCTGCAGAGCTATTTTGTTTTGCTCTCTGATACGATAACTCCGTTATTTATGTTATGATAACATCAAGTACCCGTTTGCCGCGGTGGTTTGGATAATAGTAATTTACCATAACGGCCTGTTTTCTCGTTAAGCTTTAGGATTTGGATTCGGTCGCTTCGGTTTAGGCGGACAAGCAAGCCCACAGACCAGCAAGACGAACCCATTTGGCGTCACGCAAGGAATACAAGCTCCCACTTCTACACGTAAACTATGGCTTTTTATTATTGTTGCTGACATAACTGATTGTTGAGTGATGCTCACGTTATTTCAGTGGGTGAAATTCATATCGTAATGGTAAATTCTTTACTGAATGATTATTATAGAGAAAAGCTTAAGCTTAGAGATTGCAAGAACACCATTAAGTTAGGCGTTGTCTTTTATAAAGTTTTGGAAAGTAGACATCCAAGCGCACTGCCCACGACGGCTGCTTTCTGTTTGATGAAATTTTTCTCGCTTTGAACTGTAGAGTCCTCATTGTTTGGTGGGAAGTCAGGAGCTGATGTTTTCAAGGTTGGTTATGTTAGAAAATGTGCCTAACGATGCGAACTTGCGAAGTGTTCGTTGCTATAACAGAGGCAAATACATTCCATCATCCTGCATCATCGGCCGTATTTAGTTCTTCATCCATATTTGTCGTTAGTCTGTGGACATACAACAGATAGTACTGAAAACAGGAATGTAGACTACCAAGGGATGTACACACACACCCGTTATTTCTTTGCCCTCTCTCTTTTCTTAGGGTTGGAAAGGGCTAATTTTTATCTGATTATTTATTTTAACGTCAGACGAGTGATGCATTAAAGCCAACGTTCGGATTTGGTGCCCAGTCCTCTGGTGGTTTTTCAAGTGGCTCGTTCAGTGCCTCAGGCACTGGAGTAGGCGCCGGTGGCTTTGGCTTTGGCGCTGCATCGCCCTCTGGTAAGAGCTGTCTTTACTACAACGCTACTTACATACCGTTGCCGCGCAAACTCAGGAAAGTGAATCCTCCCAAATTTCACAAAGCGCCGAGATATTTAGTATCTTTGACCCGCTCAACGGAGTACGCCGGCAAAGAGGAAATGCTCGCATTGTATTTAACAGCAAATAAAAGCACGTCCTGGTTTTAGCGAAGGTTTTTAATTTTTCGTTCATTTTACAGCCAACAAGCGGGTTTGTTATACATTAGGCTTGCTTTGAAAACTCTGATTGGTCGAGAGCGTATAGTTAATGTACAGTAGCGTGTGAAGTTGACATGGTTAAGCAATTACTTTGCGAGGTTGGGCATGATATCATGAATTAGTAATGCCGAGGTCTGATTTATTATATTTTTTACCCTTTTTTTAAACATCTGCAAAAGAAGGCACTTCTATCTGAGTTTGCAAAAGATTGAGAACACCACATGGAAGAGGGGCTTGGGAACTAGGCAGACTCGACTTGATCACCCAATATCTGCTGGCGATAATGGTATTCATGTCAACGTCACACGCTATTGTGTATTGACTGTATGCCCTCGACTAAACAGAGTTTTCATACTTAGTAAAATATATAATAAAACCCAATATCTGCAACAGATATTAGGTTATCATGTCGAGTTCGGTTTTCTCGTGTCCGTGTTATCTACCTTAGCCTTCGGCTAAAGCAGATAAGTTAGACCTCGGCATTGATAACTAATGGTATCATGCTCAACCTCATCCAATAATTGCTTATTATCTCAACTAAAATTACAAAGTAGAAGGCTACCCTTTAATCAACCCTATTCATTGTTCGTTGACAAGACAATGACGAACTTTCAAGAGAAAATAATGGCAGCAAATTCAAGAAATGAAATCGTAACATAAGACTATTAAACAGTACCGATGATCGGTATTTGTAGTATGAAGGGTTTTCCTGCACAGAAAGAAATTGTTAATTTCAACTTTTGATGAATGAAATGTAAGTTGATATGAAGGTTTCCATAATGCCTTCTCAAATTTCTTTATTTTAGCGTCCTCAGGGTTCGGTACGGCCCAACCCTTTGGCTCGCCTTCTGCTGTTGGGTCTGTGTTTGGTGGTGCTCCTGCGTTTGGTTCTGCTCCTGTGTTGGGAGGTGCTCCAGCGTTTGGTGGATCCCCTCAAGGAGGCCTGGGAACTAGTCCTACAGGAGGGTAAGACTTCGTTTCGAGTGCTTGTTTGTTTATTTTAGTGTTTGTTTGTCTGTTTGAATTAATTTGGTTCTCTGGTTGGTTAAGCCAGAAACAATAGCACTTATGCATAGGAGAGCTTTTGAATGCGCATTGTAATTAATGATGAGGCTTTCAACCATCTGTTAAGCTGGTGATGTCGTCGGCATGTCCTTCTCATTGTAATTTTAGTTTCCTTTGGTGTTGGTTGGTCTCGCGTTGTGCTTTGCTTATCCCATTGTCGCATATAGCTGATTGGCTTCTTTTTTCAACTACTTACCCCTACAACAGTATATGCATAGGGTCGCCCTATCGTGATTGAAACGTGAAGAGAAATCAAAGAAGTATTGCCTCTGTTCGTTAGAATTCCAACTCTCTCCCACCCCTTCACCGACAACGAACGGAAATGGGAAAAACGCAAAAAAAATCGTAGTTTGAATTGCACGAAGAAGAAATGAAGGAAACTTGGAGTAGCTGCGATTTGAATTGAAGTCACTCCTCTCTTTTTACTTTTTCTTCTCACAAGGGTCTTTGGAAGTGTCAATTCTGGTGGATTTGGACAGTAAGTAAATTTTTTCCTTCACTGTAATGTTGCCTGTATGGTCAGCAAGGGTCAGCCAAAAAGGGAAATTTCTTCTACTCCTTTCTCAATACAGCCCTATTATTTGAGAAGTCTTGATTACAAAACACTTTCTAACTCTTTTATCGTAGCCATCCAGATTCACCTCGGTCCTGTCGTTAGAGTTCTACTCCAACCTTGAGCAGAGTGTGTTTTGGTCCCTCTGAAGTAGCGCTTTCCGTAGACTTCTATTCCCCTGACCAGTTTTACTTGGCAGTGTGAAATGAAAACTCCGTTTAACGACTCAAAAGGATACATGGCCACGTTTTAATTTCTCATGTTAGACATTTTAATTTACTCGTTAGAGCTCAAGGCAGCCCCACGTTCGGGGCTTTGGCTGGGCAGTCTAACGTTCCTTCATTCGGAGCAGTTGCTGGTATGCCCGCTTCCCAAGGGTTTGGGGGAATGCAACAGCCGCAGCAAACATGTCCTGCTTTTGGCTCGTTCGGCGGTGGCTCTCAGTGAGTAGAACAAATTCGCTGATAGACATTATATCGAATTGTGAAAAGGTGTTTTTCGGCGTATTTTTTTTTTCTTTTTTTTTAATTTTCAGTTTGTTTGTTTATAAGCGAGTTTTATTAATTTATCTCCAAAACTGTTTAATATCATACCCAAACATCACTGAATTTTGTGTTGAAACTTTTATACCTTACCTTTTTTTCTTTGAGTTAAACCTGAATTTGTTGCAATAACCTTTGTTAACCTTATCGCTCAATGACTCGAACTCCCGATAACTCCCGTGTTGGTTCTTCTTATCGGGAGTAGAATATACACGTGTTTTTGAGTCAGGGATCTCTAGCTGTTCCATTATCTCAGATACCAATTATTCAAGGCATCCTTATACTTAGCTTTTTCCCCCAACTCTTCACCCTGCTAACGATCGATCAAAATGTACTGGATGCTCCCACATTTAGGGCGATTGTTGTTTGTTTCCCAACAGGAGTCCCGGTGGTGCGTCTTTCTCGCAGTGGAGGTGACGCGTAGCATGTTCTTTGAATGACCGTTTCCTGGATTGTTGAAACAATTTTATTGAATACTGTGTTGTTTCGCAACTGCCCAAAATAAGGCAGAAACAATTAAACAGCTGTCTCCATACTATTTGTGTACAAGCAGCTGAATTGTATCTCGATTTGACTAGATGAGGTAAAGAACACCTTTACGCCAGCCCTAAGGCAGTGATACCACGCAATACTTGATAAATAAAGTTTTGATTTTTAACTCTATCATCTACCCCTGGACATATATTTGAGGTGTGCAAACATAGACCACCATCTCACCCATGAGGAGTCTTGGTGCTCGGCGAATATTCAAATTTTCCTCTCGCTGTGTTAATAGTTCAAGACCGTTATTATGATTTTGGCTCACCTCTGGTGGTCCATTACTGCCGCTCTTTGAAGGCCGATTGTTCTTAAATCTCCTTACCAGCGCTCCAAGCTTAATTTTTCGCGACCTCCAATTGTGAAATGGTCGCCATAAAAAAAAAAATTACTCGCCCCCCACGTTTTTAACACTTAACTTTGCTATTGTAAGAGAAAGAAAAGGAAGAGACTGTCTAGTAGCAAAAACGATTTATTTCAACATTAGAAAGCTGCTGAGACCGTGTAACATTGCTAATTGCCCCTTCAAATCGATCAAATTTGCCATTTTTTTACGCAGTCGAGTTTCTGAACAACGAGAGGCGAAAAGAGAAACGCAGGTGATGCCGCCGCTTGTACTATTGATTAAATTCGTCCTATTGTTGATAACTTTTCAAGTAAGTTTCTCTTTCTATCTGTTGGTCGCCAGTTGGCGACTTTCGCCAGAATTTTAGTCGCCAAATATTTTTTTCACTCGCCATGACGACCAAAATGGTCGCAGCTTGGAGCGCTGCTTACAGTTCGTCATTTGCAATCTGGGTCATTCTTTTCCTACTTCACGCTACATTCGACGCAACATTTTGTTCTAACGGCGAATTCTTATCAGCTCCTGACTGCAAACATCGACTCACCCCAGAAACTGTCATTTCAAGGCAAGAATAACTCAAAATATTTGTGATAGAGAACTCTTTAAATATCCTGATAAGTTCAGCAAACCATTGCAGACAATAATACGCGACTTTTGTTTTAACCATGTTCCAATTACAAACAGATTAATATTGACCATGGAGGAGATGACCTTAAAAGTCAGCCATCTATCAAATACGAACGATTAGATGTTGACTTTAGGTGTCAGCGCGCAGGTGGGCCAAGTTGGGTGCGTACTGGCATCGTCACAGAAGGTGATAAGAGATTTACCTTCGGCAACCTGTTTATTTGTGAATTTTTCTCCTTGCAGGATTATTACCCTGTTAGGGGTACCTATAGAATTACCCAGTTCAGCTGTAAGAATAACTTTCTCCATCACCAGAGAAAATCTGCTTATTTACTATTTGTGGCTTCCAGTGAAATTGTGCTTGCTTCCTGCACACATAAACAAACCATCGGTTGTCTTCTAAGTTCTACTTTGGTCTGATGATTACATGCGTGACTTCCAGGGCTGACGATCCAAATGTTGCTTAATCTAAAATGTACTGCCTACGGTTGAAGACACAAATTAAACTGGTTTTTTCTTTCATATAATACTTAGCTCAGCGAGAGTGGTGAGTAGGCCTTTCCCGATTGCGCTCGTGAAATTGTAAAAAAGTGCTGGCGAAAATGGCTAAAAAGTGCTCAAAATCTCAAAATAGTGCTCAAAAAGTGCTAAAAGTTGTGAAGAGTTACCTCTAAGTTTTTCGTAAATATGTCAATTTTTGCCCTCTTCTGCAGGCATTCTTTGATGGACTGCTGTTCTGATTTATTTCTCTCAATGTCAGCCAGGCCCTTCTCATGTTTCTTTGATTTCGTGTGTCTTTCAATAGAACTTTTCTTGTAACTGAGAACTTCGCTACAGGCGTTACATCTAAGCTTTTTTTTACCACGGCAAAGTGTTGGTTTGGGTACTCTTTGAGACGATCCCGTGTACTCACAATTGTGGTTTTGACGCTTCCTCTTTGCTTGTTCTTACATACATGTATATACATACGTTAGTTGACCACTCCCCATGGGGGCTTTTCAAGGCCATTTCCCACACATCCCACCCCAGGGGAGGACATCCATGACATAGTAATCTCGTGCGTGGGAAATTAACGTCTCCTACCCCTAAACCTTCCCTTTGTTGATCGGAACTTTTCGCTTTCGTGCTATCGAAGCACTTTCTTGAGCACTAAGGGATGCTCCAGCATTTACTGTTGTTGTAATTGTATCAATCACTTCTTCGTCTTCAGTGCTACTGTTTTCCGACTGCTTTGGTGCTTCATTTGTGCTCTTAAAAAACTAAAGCCAGTTACGAATTGTAAATGAATTCAGCACTACTAGTGTAAAAACGTAGAGCCCAGACATCAGATGATTTAGAAATTTGAGATGACACACACATGATACATCAGCCAATCAGAAACTTCTGTTTTCACGCTCAGTAGGGATAAGTCCGCGTGTCTTTCCATGACAACGGTCTTTTATTCCTGACCACTACATCATTTGTTATTCAAATTTATGACCTGGAACACGATTCTCGTTGCGAGCGACACACAGTTTTTGCTTCAAAATGTTTTAGAAGACATATCGAAATTTGCTCGAAATGTGAAATATTGCTCAAATGTTGCCCAAAGCGCGAAAAAGTGCTTAAGAGTGCTCAAAATGCAAAATAGTGCCCCAAACTCAAAAAAGTGCTCAAAAGGTGCTCAGCACAATCGGGAAAGGCCTAGTGGTGAGAACCTATCGCAAGTAGGAAAATAAGTTTCCAGTGCCTCATGAACGAGTTTTGCACACATAGGACTCAAAGTTGACGATAAATTTTCGGTAAGTATTGAAGACAACAACCCTTTAGCTCAAACTCAGCACTTTTGTGAAAAGTGAAAAGAATGTTGAAGTGACGTAGGAAGAAGTAACCGTTAGTCGTTAAATGGCAAAACTTTTAACTGGAGTGGTAGCCGTCAAAGCCATCACCCCATTGAAACCCCCTTTTAGTACACAGACCTGGGCATTAAGCATCTCATCAAGGTAATTCAATGTATCTACTTTTCCAATAAACACTTATGTAAACACTTATTTACAACATTTTTCATTTATTTTCAAATTACCGATTTCTTAAGTCTTTCTTAACTGCGAGCACTCCATTTTCCCCTTAACGAACAGTTCTCGACAGAGTATATCACCAGGGGGAGGATTTGAGGACTTTGGAAGGATCACATGGTTTTCAATCTGGGGGAACGAAGGCGGGGTCAGTCGTTGCTAAAAGGGGAGACGTTACAAAATTGACTGCTAATCAACTGCCAAGGAGGAGTGGTCACAAGATCAGAGTAAGTTTTATCGTGACACAACCAAAATCCTCTCAGTAATCTCCTTCTTCAGTGAATTCAAAGTACTTGGATGTCTTAGATTTCTTTTTAAAAAAGAAGAAGACAATTCAGTGCGTGATCGTCCTCAGAAATGGTTAAAGGTTTAGTGTTACGTGATAACTATTTAAAGATGTCAATTCATGAATGAGCTTAACAGAGAATAATTTCATGCCAAGGCTCAACCCACAAGAGCTAAAAATAGAGAGTAGTTTGATCTCAATTTCGATCAGAAACTACATTCCTTCAATATTGCGCAACTCTTTGATGAATTTGTCTACGACTTTGTAGAGTTAAATGAGCACATTTCACAACTTTCCGTATTAGTTGGCAAAAGTTAAGTTCGCAGAAAACAGTAATCGCCCTCCTTTGATGAGTCCTAGTTTTTCGACAAGATCATTCTAATCAAGGAGTCTTTCCTTTCATTCTAATTGTAGTTGTGTCCAGCTAGCTTTGCACATATGTGGGGCAAAAGCATTAGCGAAAGTAGCAATCACAATTGTGTATATTTTGGCATGTTTTTAGACTGAATGAATTGATCCCTGACTGTTAATCTTCCGCTTCAGGGTAAGAAGATTACAGTAGATTCAAATAACACCTACCTTTAAGTTTTCTACTTTAGGCGAATCGCCTGAAGCGTTTCATTCGAATAGCGACACGAGCACCGTACGAAAGAAATTAACTTGGGTACGAGAACGTCAATAGAAATGAATTTGTATGCCGCTTGTATCCTGTACTTTTTGGTAGTTTCAGTCTGTTACGGATTAAACGGTAAGTAGCGAGTCAAAACAATGTTGTTTGTTTTACTGCGTAAAGACCTACACTTTACCTTTCTTTTACTCTAGGTTTAATGAATTTGGCTCATATGGGTTGGATTTTCATGAATTTCACATAATTCTGAAAACCACCAAGACATTCTATCTAAAGCAGTAATATCTATCGTATTTAAGGTTGAGTACGGTGAGATATTTACGTTCAAATTTTCATGGTTTGTCCAGTCAGTTGAAATTCGTAGTAATGAGGGAGGCAAGATTTCTCTAGAACCCCATACTTCATTATGCATAAGGTATTGTTTTGCCGATAAGACAAACATTAGATTGCCTATGGTCTTGGTTTAGAATATTAAGGGTTATACGTGAATATGTTTTCAAAAATAATTTCAGGAATGCTTTGATGTGATATGATTAAGTTAATGGTCTCAAGCTTCCAATAAAGCTGGAGACAGAAAGTCTACCTGCACTTGGTTATAGTTCTATTTTCCGCTTTCGAGGGAAGCTTATTCGACCTGAGACTCTTAACTGCAAAGGAAATATTTGCTTGCAAATAGAATTTTTATGCTTCTTCTCCCCGTTGATTGAACAGTAATTTTAAATAAATGCGGCTATGGGATTTTGCCCATAGCCATTTACTCCAATTGTTGATTGGTTATAATTTTTCCCAGTAAACATAGCTCAGGCAAGGCAGCATATTTGGGTTGTTCATATAATTTATAAGGGAGAAAAGGCATAAATTAGTTTTACAAGATTAGCGGAGAGATGACTTCTTTTGATATTTGAGCCAACAGATCATCTCACGATTTAGATTTTTGGCTCACATAATTGCCTCGTTTGACATCAGCGAGATGATTAAAGTAAGAATATTTCAAGTTAGAGAAGTATACGCACACTAAGAACTCCAACTGTACTGATCAAGAACACCCTCCGCACGACATACCCGTTTATGACTAAAGGCTGATAGTTTCGAAAGAAACTGTTTGGGGCTGCGTCGGTGGGAGTAACGAAATAGTTTGGATATATCAACAAAGTTGAAATGGTAAATTAGCCACCGTAATGATTGCAAAAGCTGACGTTTTGACGAAGGGCTAACGCTCGAAACGTCAGCTTTTGTAATCATTACGGTGGCTGTTTATGAATGCCACGGGGACGTGTTCTTGCGATGTAACCAAAGCCCCGATTACATGTTGTAAAATATTCTGGTTACGATCGCTTCTTTTTCGGTCAGAAACATAAAAATTCCTCACTTACAGTTGAACCTCTCTACAAAGGCCACCTTAAGAACGGAAGAAAGAGTTCATTGTGGAGAAGTGGCCGTTCGTGGAGGTTCGACTGTATTATTAAGAGTCAAGAGTCAAGAGTCATTATTTTATAGCGAGGATTAAAGAGTTTTGTTGCAGCCTTTTGTCACATTTGCCAAAATTTTATGTGAAACACTACGCATGTCGGAATAGATACTGTTGTAACAAAATAATACAATGGCCGCCGCGATTGTATGCAAGTTCAGTCCCGTGGGATTACTTATGTGCCGTGCGATGTGAGTACTTTACTCAGTGGCCCAGTTAAAGTTTACAACATCTTCCTGATACAATATTTTACTCTCCTTCCCTCTCAATATTTTCGTGTTTACAATTTCCCTGCGACAAATGCATGGGTCAAGAAAAAAAATGTAGAGGTAAACTGGGGGACTGTGTAAGACAAGCAGCGTTTATGACGGGAAACGCGAAAGTGGCGAATGTCCCTCGGCAACTGGCTGCAGCAAACCAGAGTCTTGAGTAAAATACTTTTATTCGTCGACTCTTCTGCAGAGAGTTGCAGCGACGAACTTGGAATGAAAAATAAACGAATCCCAGACAAGAATATTACAGCATCAACTTCAAAAAGTAAAGATAACTCCCCTCACTTTGCACGTTTGGACAGCCCAAAGGCCTGGTGCTCTTCGCAAGATGACAAGTTGCCTTTCATACAAATCCAGTTGAAAGGTCCAAGGATTATAACTGGTATAACAACCCAAGGAAGCTCTTCTGATTGGGCATGGGTGACAAAATATGGAGTCAAGTTCCGGGAAAATGGAACATGGAAAGAATATCATGAGGTTCCCAAATTTTAGATGTTTATGTTTTTTTTTTTTTCTTCGTTTGGTCTCTGAGTAACCAGATTGTAACGATGAATTATAGAACATTTCCTTTTTTATACTTTCGAGGAAATGTGAAAGCCATTAAACTTATTTTTCAAAAATATCAGATTTAGTTTCATTCTACATAAGATTTATATATGACTAACCCAAAAGTGAAGAGAAAATTTGCAAATCTTTAACGATTCCTCGAACTTGGAACATTTTAAGTTCATTTGCCTCGAGCGCGAGAAAGATCAAATGTCACTTTTCAGTGTTGACCGTCTCTACCCATTAATCACCAGTGAATCTTATGCGTTCAGACACAATTTAATACTAAGTAATGACCCTAATGAGCCTGCTTCAAATGAACCATCTAAAGAGTTAACTTTCCGTTTAATTTTCAGGAACTAGCGGGCAATAATAACATTCGAGGCGTGAAGTCGAATGCCTTAGATCCTCCAATCAAAACGCAATCGATTAGAATTTATCCTAAGGATCCAATGACGTTGGATAACACTGATCCCAAACCCTGCTGCTTAAGATTAGAGTTGCGTGGATGTTCTGCTCCAGGTATAATGTACAGATCCACTTACTGAGAACTTTTGATAGTTTGAAATAATTCAAAGATATAGTTTCTTTAATCGATACGTGCCCACATGACTGATCATGTTATTCTGGCTGCATGATCTTTGCTTTTCTTTTTTTATTCATTTACTAAAAAAAAAAAATTACAAATAGGACTGACTACGCAAAAGAGACAGAACCAGGTGAAAAAAGGATGGAAAGTCGTGCCTTCAGAAAACTATAGACAATAAAGGAATGACTACACAAGAAAGACACAACTGGGTTAGCCGGGTGACAAAACCGAAAAAATGAAATAAATGCTAATGCTTCTTTAGCGTTTGCCGTCTCAGAGACTATTCAACAATATTCCCTAAGCCCGAGGTGAATAGCTGTTAAATGAAGGAAGAATAATAGATTGCTTTAACGAAAAACCAAACACGTTTAAAAAATAGCATCTAATATCTTTATTTTAATTTACGTTTAATTTGTTGTTGTTTTCCTGAAAATGCAGATTGTGGCCCCTTAAAAAAGCCAGATCACGGAGATATAATCGAGCAAGTAGCGTTTACCTATGGAAATAGAATAGTCTTTAAATGCACAGAGACGGGTTATGAAATGAGAGGATCTAGAGTAAGGATATGCCAAATTGATGGAACATGGAATGGCTCTCCCACTACATGCGAAAGTACGTACAAATTCAATTAATAAGTTTAAAGGAATCACAAATAAATTGCGATCAATATTTCAATGAGAAAATTTGCTTTGCTACAGAATAGGCCTTTTGCAGCTAGAGATTACATGCTTAGATACCGCCTAGCAACGCCATACTGGAGAGCAAGCACTCCAGTGATCTCAGACAGTATAGAGGTCACAGAGGACTGCATTCAAACAAAGAATACAGCGGATAACTGGTCAAAAGGTATCCCAATTCGAGAAATCCAGTAAGAAGTAATCAACAGCTTCCCTGGAGTGTATCAGCAGCAAAATCACACCAAAATTCGTTTCTCGAATTGGGATACCCTTTAACTTGTTATCCGCTGTATTCTTTGTTTGAATGCAGACCTCTGTGATCACTATTTTGTCGGAGATCACTGGAGTGCTTGCTCTCCACTATGGCGTTGCTATGCGGTATCTAAGCACGGGATCTCTAACTGCAAAAGGCCTATTGTAACCTTACTTATTTGAAAGACTGATAGACAAACGGACAAACTGATTAACTGCCTGACTGACGAACTGATTGACTGATTGACAGATTTATTGATTGATCGACTGACCAACTGATCTTTGCAGTTGTTCAATGTGGAGATCCTGGAACCATCCAAAACGGAAGCCAGACAGTAACTAAAGGTTTCATGTACGGCGGATCTGTTGAATTTAAATGTGACAAAGGTTACACTCTGGTAGGGATGCGCATCATTTACTGCCGAGCGGACAAACAATGGAGTGCAGCTGTACCGCATTGTCGAGGTTAGAGTTACTTCATGACGTTACGAGACAGACCTACTTTCTTGCCCTTTCCTAAACACCCAGACGTGAAAATATTGACTGGAAAAAGTTTCATTCCTGAACTTTAAATTTCTGGAAGGAAAACACCCCCTTTAAGGAAAATTTTATTCATTCTTAAAGAGTTCATGTTGCAATTACCCTAAATTAAACAAATCAAGACGCCTTCTCTGATATTCCAAGAAACATTCTGGTGGCATCCTTCCAACCAAATTCAAGATTTATTTTATTTTAAAAAACGTGCAATACGAGTCCTTAACGCGCCTCATATCGCATTAAATAGAACCATGACCTGGGACCCTTTAAGGATCAAACGTATATTAATCACGTGCAACCGAGTGCAGCTGTGGCTGTAATATTCCAATGTTACTCAGCAGATGTTTAAAGTCCAAGTCCGTGGCTATTACTGCCGCTTTTTGAAGGCCGATAGTTCGAAGATATTCTTGCAGTTCATCATTTGCAATATGGGTAATTCTTTTCCCACTTTATGCTTCATCGTGACGCTACATTTTGTTTAATGGCGAATTTTTACCAGCTTCTACCTGCTAACATTGACTCATCCTATAAAACTATCATTTCAAGGCAGTAATAAGTCAAATTATTATCCAACTGTGCTTCGTAGAGTACAAATAACGCACAAAACGAGTACAAATACCTGGCACGGTATTTGTACTTCAGAGAACCGGTTAGACAGGTTTTCTCGCATTGCGCAAGCGACGAATTGGATTGAAGTTACGAAAACAAATGGCGGACAATTTAGATTATTTTTCTGACGACGAAGAGTCGAAATGGCTGGCGAATATTTATCCAAGTTTATTAGATAAATCGAAAGAATAAAATAAGTAAGAGTACAATGAAATTTCATCATTTATTGAAGAAAATAGAAACAGCAACACGACAAAGAATTCCGTTCCGCTTCGCATACTTCTGTCACGCCCTCTCCGTAAATAAATACCCGCGGAATTCGCCTGCACTGAAATAACAATTTAGCGTGTTGGATACGGCACAACTCGTAAAACTCGGCGATACTACACAACAAAACGTTTAATAAGATATATGTATTTGTGGTAGAGAACTCTTAAATATCGACTATTGTTTTTTACCATGTTCCATCAGAAATGGATTAAATCAAAAGACTAGGTGGTATTTATCCGAGAACTGGGTCCTTACATCGTGAAGACGTTTGTCTGAAAAACCATGCGGCGTTCATTTCAAGACTGCTCAACAATCAACTTCCATACAGTGAAGAAAATCTGCTCAAGAAGGTTTTGGCTGCTAACGAAAATTTCGAAAGTAGGAAAGCAAAGCAATTATATCTAAGCCCTGAATCAGACACTGAAACAACTTCCAGGCGCGACTCAATTCATGTGTCTTTCTTGATCACTATAACTGAAGGGGTTAGGATATACCTTTTGTCACGTAGTAGTAGCAAGTAGGATAAATATTGTAAGAAATATGCAGCTTTTTTTAGAGACATGTTTCGGCATGCTTATGCCATCTTCAGTCAATGAGTAACTGAACGTGATTAATTATATAACAGACAAGCAGATGAATAAAATATTTACAGTATGATGTAATACGAAAGCGGGTACTAATTACAGCGTGACAACAAACATGAAATTAAAGGTGTGAACTAAAATGCTAGAAAAGTGTTATTATGCTGTAACTGTTTGATAACTTCAGGTTTGATCTTATTTATATAAAATGCTTCTTTGAGTTTTAAATCAATTGAGTTGTTGGCAGAATCCAGAATACTAAAGCAAGAAAGGGAGCATTTGTTCTTACAAGAAGGAGATGTGTTAAAATGCTTAAAAATATGCGAGTTTTTATCGCTTTCCGTGTGCTCCTTTATCCTAGTAGAGAAGTGGCGACTAGTTTCGCCAATATACCTTTTGCTTAGGAGGGACGAAGAAAGTTTTTCAAAATAACTTGAAGTTGCTCTTTGTGTGTGTGTGGAGATATGATTAAAGCCGCATCATTTACTGTCATCAAGGATAACGGTGGTTTCATTGTCATTCTTAAATGCAAACATCGACTTTCCAATGATTTTCTCGCATCACCTTCCAGTCACATGACATTTTTAAAAAACTGGTTTCTCGCGGGTCCTCTCCATCTGAGGTGGAAAATGTATCTTCTTGGGCGATCCCTCACAACCTACCACGCCCTTCCTCCAAAAATATTGTAATAAAAAAACATTCCTAACTACATTTGGATGTCATTCTTTACACTTCAGTCTAACTTCTGGTAGGGAGTTGAGGCAGAAGAATTCACTTTTTCACTCAGCCTTATTTCCTTGTCAGATTTCTGTCAAAGCCATGCAGCTGGGGTGCACGCCAATCCTGATAACTGCTTTGGTTTCATAATGTGTGATAAGGCTGGTACCACCCATGAAATGCCTTGTCCTGCGGGACTCAAGTTCAATCCCGCCACACTCGTCTGTGATTGGCCGAAAAATGTCGAGTGCGAGAATGCTGGAAGCGGAAAGCCGGCAGGCTGAACAACCCGAGGAGTATTCTCTCACCGCTGACGAATGAAGACGTAGTATTTGAATACCTCTTAGCTACGGTGTACTAGAAACATTTTATTCTCGAATTAAATATTGTTACAACATGATTTCTATTTTTTTCTGGTTCGCTGAGAGAGGGAGGCAAGTCATGACCATGATATGATAATCAGGTGACTTTTTATAGAGACCAGCTAGTATCATAGGCTTGATCCTTGCTCCAAGTTCATGTTGTAGTTCCAAGTTAGCTGAGCAACGTATGATTTGATCGATTTGTACTTGCCCCGGCGAGCACGCCTACGTAAAATGCTCCAGTTATTAGGGGAATAAAGTTTAGATGCTCTTTTAACAAGCTCTAAATTAAACCTTCAGTCTCGATAAAAATATGTAATTTCCTATACTTGGATTAATTCATCGTTTATTGAAAAAAAAACGAACCCGAACCAATCTCGTTCCCATGACTTTTTCCCTTTCTAGGGGGTGGAGCGGGAAAAGGCCCACCCTCGATTAAGGGAAAAAGCCTTGGGAACAAGGATGAACCCGAACGTCCCGCGAAGCAAAAAGCCCTTTTTGGGATCTCCAGGCGAGTTGGTAACCTGACAATCGGCCTTGCTAATAAAAAATTAGCCTGTTTACAGTCCTCTCTCCCCTCCACCCTGCAAAAGAAACGGGGGCGGCTGCATACAGGCCAATTTACCATTTCAAATTTGTTGATATATTCAAATTATAACCAAAACTTTGCCAACTCGATGATACTTGAAAAGCTATAAGCATCCTCTCGGTTAGCCTCAGGGATTTGTCTTAATAATCTCACTTCATTTTATGCAGTAAAAGCTCTTGTGAGCGAACACTCAGATATATCTGACAGATTATGACTGAACATGAGAGCTTTCCTACTAAGCTAACAATAAAAACAATCACATCACACGTGCATGGCACACTGAAATATGGCACAGCGAGATCTTCGTAACGAATGGCGCTGAAAATCTAAATGATTTCAAAACGCTGGCCGTAGGGAATCATCCGGCACCAGATTCATTTGGAAAATTCACCAGTCTGCTTCACCACTTTCCATGCAAACGCTAGTTACTTTTTCTACACTGTCGAAGCGAGATTCTATCAACATTGCCCATTCTAGTTACTGTCAAGTCTAAGTAATATGTTGAAAAGTCACGTCTAAAAAGTCTAAGAGTTGAAATAGAAATTCGCTCTCCTATTGTTTGGGAAATATACTCACAAAGGCAATGAACCTGCAATGTTGCACGATTTAAGAATTATAACGTAACAAACAAAAAAGTTATTGTTTTGAATGACTTCATGTTTACCGATGCACAGGTGTATTGTCGAGAGTGTTGGAGAAAAGAGCTTCAGGTAAGACAAGCTTCTATATACTTGTCGAAAGTATGTTAATTGCTCAGTTACATTTGATATACAGTATTACATTGAGAATCTTCGGCCACTAACAGCCTGTAGAAGTCCGGCTGAGATTCTGACAACAATTGCAAAACCTCGGCGAGCTTACAATTACCTATTGGCGAGGAAGCTCTCTTTTTTTCTACCAGAAGAACTCACAAGCTTTCTTGAGTGGTCAGCATTCTGGTATCGTTCTATCGTGTGAGTCATTTTGCAAGTGTTAATTGCTTAAGTCTGTTCTGCAGTTCAGGCATGCAAGACTGGTAAGCCAGACCTGTGCCAAATACGAAGTTTTGGTTTTCATTTCTTGTCCGAGCGTTGTGCACCTGATCCACTATTTGTTCTCGCTTCCAGATTTTCTTCTTTTCTTCCAAAGTAAGCTCGGTGTCTGCCTCCTTTGCTGTCGTTGATGTTATAGTTGGTGTTGGTGTCGTTGTCGATGGTGGTAAGTTCCCTGCATTGCCTTTCACAGATTTTTGCAACGCTCTTTGCAGTACCTCCGCTGAAGTCAGCTGAGGGACTGCGTTACTTTTTTCCAAATTGTCTTTCGATAAAATAGTTATTTTGGTAGTGTCCTGGGTTTGGCTAGAAGCTCGGGGTTGTATCGAATAAGGTACAGGCGGAGGCATCGGCGAAGTTTTCTTTTGATGAAGTTCTTCAGTTTTTCCTAGTGGAGTTCTTCCGTTTCCCATCAATATCCCATTAGACGATTGCCTTGTAAGAATTGAGGAGGCTGTCTCGATACTCGTTCGCGAATCCTGGATTCTCTGGTTGTAAGGCATGTCGACATTTTTGATGAAGGTCAATTTGCCAATCGATCGGACTTCTGATGGTTTGGTTGTGAGGGGAGGATGGCCATTGGGGACATTGTGGACAGTTGCCTCGACTGTTATCACTTTGGTCGCACTTGGCTTTTGATATGAACTGGGCAATATCTGGACACTACTGTTATTATCAGTTCCAGAAGGTAGACTCGTTTCATTTGCATTCTTTCCTTCAGTTGTTGAAGTTTTGTCATGCTGGGTAACTGGAAGTTCAGGGGTAATCGTATCCTCCAAGTTTTGAACTCTGTTTCTGACAGATAATTCTCTTTTGATGCTACTTTCCATTGGAATTTCGGTCTCCTCCTTTACCTTCGTGTTTGGGCTGTCACCATCTATAACTGTAGTTACTCTTTTGGCAACACCTGGGCCCGATGAGGTAACCCCAATATCAACGATATCAATTATAGTGCAAAGGTCGTTTTGTTCTTCACGTGATTGCTCTTCGTTAGACACACCTCGTGTTGCATGGATCATTTTGGTTTCGTTTCCGGCAGACGAACTAACTTGTGAGTCTGGGTCATTCGGTTTGTTGTGAATTTCCACTATGCACACCTGATCTTCGCGGTTGACTTTGTTTTGTTCTTTAGTGGCTGAAACGACCTCTTCGATGGAAACAGATTGGTAGTCTGGCTCTGGAATCCATGTATACGATTTCGTTCGAGGTTTGATAATCTCTTCTGCATTTTTAACCACTTTTTCCTTAGCTGTTATGGATGGGGCGGACCCTGATCTGTTGATTTTTGTGCTTTTCTCGGCAGTCGTAGATTTGACAGATATTTTCTTTTTTGTATCAGCGTCTGAACTTTGATCCTTTTCAGATTCACGGGGACTCGTCCTTTTCTTGTTTTCACCACCGCGTTTTACAGAAACAACTACTTTGGTTAATGGAGGCATCTCCTCTGCAGACAGCATGGCCAGCTCGCGCTGAGTGTACCCCTTGAAAGATTTGCTTCTCACAAATCGCCTCCCTTCTTCATCACTTTTTAGTTTCAAGGAGCGAGTGGTTATCTTTTGATCTCTTCGCTTATCAACTTCCCAGTTAAATGACTGGCTTTGGTTTTCTTTCACATCCCTTGGTTGGCGTACCAATGTTTCCCATGTGTATTCAGATCTTTGGACCAGATCAGGGCTGTTGCTTGCGGAATTTGTAGTCTTACTTTCTTCATTTAAAGGTGATTTTTGTCCAGTTGATGCTTTTCCGTCGATGGCAGTCTTGTGAGGTCCATTTTGTGTATTTGCAGGGTTAATTTTCGGAGACGTAACGCTTTGCACGGATTGTAGAACTGCGTCTGAAGTCCCTGGAATCTCGCTGACAAAAGCGTTTGGTATGAGTACCGTGGAAGCTTTGCGACGAATTTTGGTAGAACCTCTTTTGGTGTCAATACAAAGTCCGTCTTCGGTTCTCTCAGAAACCGCGCTTGTATCGGCGTGAGTTGCCCAATCCTTATCATCAGGGAGGCGTTTCGGGTCTCCCGCCTGGTTCATCTGGACCCTGCAACGATGCGCCCAAAAAAATATTATGTACATGTAAGACTACTGCATGATTTAAAATCCGATTCTCAAGCACAAACCTGGTTTACAAACAGCTGAAAAGGATTCTTATTTAGCATTAATATTGACCATGGAGGAGATGACTAAAAGGTCAGTTATCTATCGAATTGGAACATAGCAAGCTTCGAGAAAAATTAGATGTTGACTATAGGTAGTCCGCGTGCAGCTGGGCAAAGTTAGGTGTGTAGTGGCGTGGCCACAGAAAGTCATAAGAAATTTATCAGCTGTATCCTGTTTATTTATAAATTGTGACTTCCTGCAGGATAAATACCCTTTTATAGGGACGGGACCTCTGAAACCAAGTTCATCAGTAAGAATAACTTTCTCCATCAATAAGGAAAATGTATCTATTTACTATCTGTGACTTCCCGTGAAATTGTGTTAGCCTCCTGCACACGAAAACAAACCATCGGTTGTCTTCCAAGTTCTACTTTGGTCTGATGATTACAAGCGTGACTTCCAAGGCTGACGATCAAAATGTTGCATGTCTTAAAGTGCCTCATTGACGGTCAGAGACACGATTAGAATTGGTTATTTTTCCTCGTATACTTAGCTGGAAAAGTTTCCAGAGCCTCGTGAACTAGATTCGCACACCGTAGGACTCAAAGTCAATAACAAATTTTCGGGAAGTACTGAAGTCAACAACGCAAGTTTGAACTCGGCTCTTTTGTGAACGACAAGAACAAACGGAAAATTGTGTAAACTTCCTTACCTTTTCTTGCGTCGAAATATTTTGTACATGACAACTGCCACATAAGCGACGAGAAGTAGGCCTCCTCCACAGCCGGCCAAAATAATCCACCAAAGCTCCATTTATTTCTATACGAAAGAACATTAAAAATATGATCAACTAATTGAGACAAGAAATAACAAAATATCTAAATCAAAAAGTAAAAAAGGAATTCCAAACTATATACGTTACATTCAGGGTGTAAGCAGTAGAGGTTTGGAAGCACAACACTGACCATCTGTCTTATAGTCAATTCAGTGCATTAACTTCCGCTGCGGGCTATTTGAAGATAGCATATAACGCAAAAACTCTCCTTGCACCATATAAACAAGTAAACAAGCATTTTTCCACGTAAATCGCCGTATTGACACGAGTCAGTTTCTTTTATTTCATTCTTTTGATCGAGCAACTCTGAAAAATCTTTCACCGAGAGAAAATAATGTCCATTTTTCTTTCTCTTGCTTTCACACTTCAGAGAAAGTTGCCTTTCGTTGTGTGGGTCCTCATCTATAGACTGTTAAAGATAAGGATGGGCAGTTTTCAAATTAAGAAAGCAAAACGAAGCAGCTCTCTAGGGCTTGCGCCAATTCGTGACAAGCAAGTAATAGTGATATTTTTTCAATGTATGTAAACCTACAGATACACAATTAAAATCGTAAATAGCTAGTAGATCATGGACAGTGTTGACGGCTGAAAATTTTGTAATTACTAATCTCATACCTTAATAAAAACAGCTAAGAGTTATGAAAAATAAGATCCACGATTCAGTCGCGAGGCAATTTGCAGCCAAATTTCTGATATTCTGCTTTGAAAATAGACAGTTCCGCGTCGTTGATGAAATCGGAGAAGAAAGATCGATTTAATGGTGCAGTAAATTTGAGCGTGGTATCGAATGATAAGACAGGTGTCTAATACTGACAAGTTCCTCTTTAATTTATGCTTAAGAAGGACGGAGAGAACTCGTTTAAACAAGAAACACGAGTCTTTCGTCGAGTGATAAACTAAATATTCTAAATTAAAAATCTTGTTTCGGCAGATTTGTTCGAAATATCAAAAATACAATTTCTGGTTCGTTCTCCACAGAAAGCTTTCCATGAAGTTTATAAACATACTCTATACTGCTTTCAATTTGAGAGCGATATTTGCATTATTGCTCGGTTCATTTGCCAGTCAGCTTTCAGGGTATAAATAACTCACTTAATGCTAAAGAGTGTCAAAACAGGTCTGTTAATGGGTTGGCTTGAGAATTCTTCGCCAAGTTTAAAATTTCAAAGAGTATGAAATGAAAACCTTTTTAGCACATTAACTGAAGGTTCTGACTCGTGACGTACTTCAGTGATTCAAAGAAAATTATTTTCAGGCCTGTAGTTTTCCATGAAATATTGATAAGCAACAAACAGGCTATAAATAAACGTTATCTTTTTGCAGAAGGTACGATTCATTGCGGCGGTGCTAGCCATATTTCTATCAAGATTTACGATTTTGCAATTATATATCTTAGACTCTTTGGTTATAAATATGATAATTGCAGACTTGGCAAATTAACCTGTTCCTCAATTCGTTTGCAAAGCACGCTCTTAGATCATGATTAAACTGACAATAGTAATAAATTTTGTAAGGTTTCGACTCACTTGTGTCAACGACGTTGTCCGTGTGCCTAAACGTACTTTAACGGCTTCACGTTTGATAATTCGGAACTTCTGATTTGTTTTCCAAACGTGCTGACCGAAACATTAGCACAGACTTCACGGTGGAAAGTGACTTAATGCGATTACCATCTACAGGCCCGTTTATCCTTGCAGCGGTATTCAAAATATCTTAGCAACAAATAATTGTTTCCCATTGTTCTAAGAGTAGCGCTTTCTAGAATGAACAAAAAAGTTGCAAGTTCAAACAAATCTCTACGTCATTTGCTTTGCTTTTTTAACACATTGCCGTATAACCAGTTATAGTGATGGTGTCATAGAAAAGAAATTAAAGGAAAAAACCAAATAGATATTAAGTATTCTGTAGTCATCGCCATCGCACATGTCTATGAAGGAAATTTGCTACCGATCCATTCTGAGAGAATGAATAGAGTAAAATAATGATTAAAAATCGGTTTTTATGTTTAAGTTCAGAGCGGCTCAAGGAGCCTTAAAATCCAAAATAATAGTTTATCTATTACTACGTTATTCGTATTTTCATTCTTCTTTGACAGCATAATTTTCAATTGGTATACCTAATCTGTATCCTTCACTCTGTCCACATAAGAAGTGTTTAGCTTCCCTTTAAAACAACAGAGTCATCTTGTTTTAGTTGCCAAAGTGATATCTTCCCACTCTGAAGTCAAAACTGACTGAGCTGAGGATTGTCAGATGACTTGAATTGACAAGACATATCTTGATGCTGTTCCTGGAGTCTCGCCAAAAAGGGAGGGTTAGTAGAAGTTGTGGAATAGAAAATAGGTGACTACTTCAAATCCACTTGATAATATATTGCTAGGATAGCAATCCTTCTTTATATAGAGATGACTGAAATCCTATAATGCATTCAAATCGTTTCGAACCTCTTCTCTATTGTTGCTTGACATGCCTCTTACGGTGATCTTTGTTTTGTTTTGTTTTGTTTGTTTTTTTCGGTTTTTGTCTTGTTTTTGTTTTGTTTTTTTTTTTTCATCAATTATTTTCCAAATGGGTGATTAATTAACCTACAACTTGCTTGTTACTCGGGGTTTCCGAAGGAAACCCCCGAGGTATAAATTCGTCTTTGTTTTGTTTGTTTTTTTTTTGCTTTCGTTCACAAACGCAGTTCCACTGAGGCGCATGCGTGATGTGTATGCGCATGCGTAGAATGAACTCTAGAGCGCATGGTAAAGCAATGGCTGCCTTCGTGGACTGRTTGTACGCGAAAGAAATTAGACGGCTGTTACGCTCAGTATACATAGAAAGTCACACATCGTTATCAGTAGACCCAGATTGAAAATTGTGGAGCGTTTTGGGAACGGGTCGGTCCGCGAACTTTACGAGAGATCAATTTACGAGTGAACCTTCTATCGAGAAATATCAAGCGAACTCTGCTATATCAAACGAGCTATCTCATATTATCTCACATACATTCAAATTATCTCATATTATGTTTACATGTAAACACAACCGTGTATTTAGACGTGATCGAGAACCCAGTAGAAAACAAGAAGCTGCTCTGAAACGTCTCAGAAGAAAGGGCAGAAAACTGAAGGAATTTGTTTATGAGCGTATTCGTCCAAGCATACCGTCGTTGTGTGAAGGTTAGAAGAGTTACAAAGAATGTTCGTAAGCTTGATACGAAGAGGATAAGATTATATAAAGTTACACAACATGAGAAGAAGTATTTGTTGAATTCTTCTGTGAGGGTATATCAAAGGATAATTAAATTGAAGTATAGAGTAGGTCGGTATTTATCAATGTTTTCTTGTAATAGACCCATGTGTCTTTGTAAGAGTCAGACACGTATCAAACTATTGTAAATTTCAACTGAGTTCAGATATAGAGAAAAACCCTGGTCCTACTCCAATCTACATTGACCCTAGAAAAACAATAACGGCACCATATAGCCAAGCTAAAGAGTTGGTATTTGGACAAAATTCTGAACAACAGTGTGTTGCAATGAGTTTATGCTCTTTGATTCACAATAACAAACAAGGAATCAATTCTGCTAATGATCAGGTGTCAATAATCAATATTGGAAATCAGTTGTATTTAAGTTTGTCTCAGCCAGACAATCATTTTTAATGCAGACAGAATTACCCACACTTTTAAATGTCTTCGAGACTGACTATGAACTTCAATACAGTGACAGTTACACTAGCACTATTCATCAAGAAGCTACAATAGAAGGATATTAGTACTGTACCTCCTTAGATAGAGCCTTTTTCACTTATAGCCAAAAATTTCAACAATTTTGCCTTGACAATAGGATGTACTGCAGTTGCTACCTATTGTAAAGGCAATGTGGGCTTGAAAATATTCGATTCTCATGCAAGAAATATTTATGGTAGAAGCCATTCTCAAGGTACAAGTGTGCTGCTTGAAGTATCATCACTGAATAGCTTAGTACATTATTTTCAGAGTATACATAACGATATATTTGAGTTGAAAGGGGTTAAAATTGATAAAGTTCAAAATAGTGGCCATTTTCAGTCATGCCCGTGAAACCAGAAAGTTCAATGTGAATTGTGCTGTGGCTGTTTATTCACTCTGCTACTCTGTAATAAAATCATGTAGTTATTGGAATTCAAACACCTTATCTAATGTTATACAGTATGGCAAAAGATTATGGAAATTCATATTTGAACAAGTATTTACTGTCAAGTATTTACTATTTACTGTGAAATTCATCTTTGAACAAGTATTTACTGTCAGATGATTTGCCAAAAACTGATGTTTGTGGAACTGAAGCAAGTTTAGATCTTAAAAGTGATTACAATGAAGGAATATTGTCTGATTCAGTTGACAGAAAATCGATTCTCAAAACTCTTGTGAGAAATAATAGTTGAATGCACTGGGTTTTTGATGTGGTTTTCAGATTTTTGTAGAACATTTATTTTGAAACCCACAAAAAGGTCAAAATATGTGTATTCCCTCTTGGTATGTAATGAAAGTCGAATGCCTTTAATTGAACATACTAAAACTGTAAATAGCACTGCTTCTCTTGTTGTGGCCATCAGCAGTATTAAATATTCAGAGACTTTTCTATTAATAACAATATGAACTCTTGAACAGTAATATTGCCTCGATCTACTGATTTCTGACAACTCTCCTTGGGTGAACATTTGGCAACAAACTTTGACTTGGTACCAATAATAGATAAAAAATTCCCTTCTCCTTGCAGTTATAGACAAGTACATTACCTACTCAGGGTTTGTAAAAGCCTTGAAAGTCCTTGAAGATGCTTGAATTTAAAAATTTAAAAACTCAAGGCCTTGAAAATACTTAAATTTGAGGAGTAAGGCTTGATTGTTGCAATGCTTTTTCTTTAGCAGTTTTCAAGTTGAAAATTACAGTACTTTCATGGAAAAGCTGAGAAATAATACTAAATTATTTTAAAATTGCTTATGCAAACCTTTCCAAAAGTGGTCCTTCAATTTTCTAGAACTTGGCCTTTAAAGTCATTGAAAAGTCCTTGAATTTCAACCTTTGGCATCTACAGGAACTTACTCCTATATGGTAATATATTATTTTGATTGTTGTCTAGTACCATAACAACATTCATTATACTCCAGCATACAAAAATAAACACAAGTAGACTTATTCGTGACCGGCAATGATGAAATTGCGTGACGACAGTAACGATGGCAACATTGCAGTCCCCTAAAGAGATAACTCCAGATGTGCGATATTGAAAGCCCGAGTTCACGCAGATATGCGCCTAGTTAATTCTGATGTTATGTTTATCAAATACCTCGCGTTTTCTGTGGATGATCGCGGACAACACGCGAAGAAGTGGGAAATATGGAGAATAACTATTTTATCAGATAATTGATATAAGTCACGAGTGAAGACAAGTCTCCTGTCAATGATAATGAGTTTTTGTTTAATCATCTCGTTAAATTCACGTTCAACACGCTCGTGAAAAAGTTGAACATGTTCGAATCTTATCTAGCAGTTTCTTTGTGACGTTACCGAGCGCATTCATAAATGAAAATAAATAAATTTGACT